GGGGGGGGGGTGGAGAGGCATGTCCAGATCACTGCAAAGAAAACCCTGGTTCCCCACAGAGAGCAAAGTCTCTGCAGCATTCTGGCAGGGGGACAGGCCTTTTTTAGCTTTCTAAAGAAAACTCGTAATACTTTTTTTTGTTTTGATGCACCTGGAATGTATTTACCTGATTTCAAAATGAAAGCTCAATTAGGTTTTAAGCAGTATATGTAGTTGTTCCTATGTACACAAAGTGTTTCACACTTACTACTGAGTTCTGTAAAGAGAATATATAAAACTAGGGTTGGTTTAATGCCTACTGAAAGAGCAGACCCAGTTTCTCTGCCACTGCCAGCATCCTATGTCAGTTGATTCGACCCACTGCCATCTCCCCAAAACGAAAACATTAAGGCCTCATTCACACACAACGCAAGCAAAATTGTATATTGCGTATATATACGCGTCTATGCAATACCAGAATGCATCACTCGTAATGAAATTTTTTATGTGCTGTACGCATGTATGTGCGCGTAAATACGCGGCCCGGACGCATCTCTGTTCCATTCTGTTTTTGCGAATATATATACGCTACGCGAATATACGGCTCCATACGCGGCCATGTGTATGGAGCCATTTATTGCATATGGTACAGTACGCGCGTATATGTGCGGCGGTGGGAATGAGGCCTTAGGTGGACAAATGAACAATCCGTCTCCATCCGCTGAAATATCTGACCCCATAGGCTGGGCTTGAAAAATCCGCTCGTCCTCTCGTCTGTGACGAGAGGACCGCAAAGCCAGACGAGTAGCTTCCCGGCCGGCCGTTGTAATTAGGCGGCCACCCGGGAGCTTTGCATTCAAGCGATCGGACGTCTCTAGAGGCACCCGATCGCTTGTATTAGCCGTCGCTGCCGTTGCCGGTCCCGAGATCTGATGTGCCCGATGCGGCCGGGACCGGCACGGCTGCTCTGTGACAGGAAATCAAAGGGAGATCGGTACACGATCTCCCTCTGATCTCCTTCAGTCCCCGAATGCAGGAAGTGATGTGTATTACATGACTTTTGCATTCTGCTGTCACTGTCCAGCTTCAGAAGCTGGGGAAGCAGATCTCTGCTTAATCACCTTCTCTGGGGGTCCCTAGGTGACAGGGGTCCCCCCATGTGATAGCAACAAAGTTAAGTGTAATAAAAAAAATTAAAGAAGCATAAAGGCACATTTTTTTTTTTTAAGTGCCCTGCCCCCCCATATACATACGCAAACATAAATTGGGTGCATCTACGTGCGAAAATGGTGATTGCGCCTATTGTGCCGCACATGTTACATATTGCCGCGAACGTGGCAGGGAGAGCAATAATTTTAAGGCCATTTTTCACTGATAACACTAAACTGATGAGCAGTAAAAGCGTTTAAAGCGTCACCTATGGCCAATTTTCAGTGTGGTAGTTTTTTTGCAATTTTGGGGGCACGCACAATTTTAAGGCTTGACATGTCTGGTGTCTATTTACCCGACGTGACCCCGTCTTTTATATTTTACCCAAAATATGCGTTAGAATAAAGGTTTTTTTTTTAACCTAACGTAGGGGAAACTTTTTTTTTCCACGAAATTTTCAGAAATTTTTTCATTATATAGTAAAAAATAACCCCCAACTCCCCCCCTGCAGTGGTGATTTATATACCTCCAAAAGAAAGCTCTAGCTGTCCCTAAAACTGTTTTTAGTCCAGTCATGCTGACTGGTGACATTTTTGACTGGTGAGACACCCTAAAATTTTTCAAGCCCTGCCCATAGGTGATAAGTCTTTGAAAAGGGAGTTGGATTTTCCTTTTTTAGATTCAGAAATCAACCTGTAATGTGCAGATCCTCCATCTTTAGAGAGATGCACTAGGCCTCAGGTCCCTTAAAGAAGTTCTCTGTGTTGGCCAGAGCCACCAATCGGATAAAGATTTTCAGATTCCTATTACCAGTGTACCAATGTCTGCTTAACAAATCTGTATATTTAACATTCAAATAGCTGTACTGATTATAACTAATGGCTAAGTGCTAACAGGAATGAGCATGATAAATCACACGACTTATGGCTCTTGGAAGCAATGATGTTGCTGTTGGACTTTTTTTTTTAAAATGTAAATGTGGCTCCCAATCATGACTCCCGTCTCAATGCCTTTTTTTTTTTTTTAAACCATTGTTTCTCTCGCCCTCTCTTCCTTTTTGCAGCCGGAAACCACCCGCCGCCCCAAACCGGCCCACCATAATCCGACCTGCAGAGCCCTCCTTACTAGACTAAGCATCGGGGACGGGCTCCAGGGGCATAAGCGAGACATAAAGGCTCTGTCGGAAAAGAGGGATTATAAGCTGGGCGTCCGTCTCCGTTATCAGACGCCGTGCCCGCCCAGCCGTGTAATCTGTCCCTGTTGTTGTTGACCAGCCCTATAGAAATAGACTTTCTCCATCTCATGAAATCCATTAGATCGATAAATCTTTACACAATGGCGCTCGTTAGTCTTACGCCTGAGTAGATTTCTGAACTGGAACCTAAAGCGCAAGGGATAGGAAGACACCATTTCTGTTCCTGTCTTACAAATGGCCGCCGGCCTCCCTCAGGAATGTAGAACGATTGCTAAACCTGGCTCTTTGTATCAACAAATAAAATTGCTGTCGGATACAAAATAGCGGACGCCTTCCTTCAGAAACATAGAAAACGCTAAAACCACAAGCCTCCTTTTTTTTTTTTCTTTTTTTTCTCTTGGCATGGCCATGTACCTAATATTGTAGATACGAAACGGCTGCTGAATGAACCTAAAATGCCCTCTGTGCTTGCTATGCAATATGGCCGCCCTCCTACCCCTGCAGCCAATGGAAACGCTAATTTAGAATGGATTAACTGAGTGCAAAAGTCTATTTCTATCACAGTAGCTTTTGGTCTGAATTATATCAGATGAGAAGAAATACAGGGTCTAATTCTGTGTCAAGTGGGTAAAAAAAAATGATGTGTATATATACAGGTGACACTCGAATAATTAGAATATTGTGCAAAGTTCATTTATTTCACTAATGCAACTTAAAAGGTGAAACTAATATATGAGATAGACTCATTACATGCAAAGCAAGATAATTCAAGCCGTGATTTGTCATAATTGTGATGATTATGGCTTACAGCTCATGAAAACCCCAAGAACCCCAAATCCACAACCTCAAAGTAGATTATTACATGCAATCAATAAAAAAAGGATTGTACATAGAACAATATCGGACCTCTGAAAAGTACAAGCATGCATATGTACTCAGTACTTGGTGTGGGCCCCTTTTGCAACACTTACTGCAATTACTTTTGCACGATATTCTAATTATTCGAGTTTCACCTGTATATACCCTGTTTCATGGAAGATATGCTAGCGTGACATCAAGCGTGTGTAATATACAGACATCCGGTCTGTG